TACAGGCGTTTAAGAGGCAGTTGATTAAAACGAGCACTGTTTACCAGATAAATCGTCGATTATGCAACGTTAAGTACACGTTTGTTGTAATCCGCGCCAATCGGAATTAGTATGGAAAAATACGCATCACGATGACGTTTCAGAGATGTATTAAGCAATTCGATTGCACTTGATCGTCGCCGGGATCTAGAGTATGCCAGATTTAGTCTTTCGAGTGGTAAAAAGATTTAATTGGATCATTGGTTAAAAGGATTTATGACCGTCGAGTGTGAGTATAAGTAACATGAAACGGAGTTTCAACTTGTTCGCTCATTATTTAATCAATCTATCTTTTTTTTATTGCAAAACAGCTGACAGCTTAACCCTTTTAGTGCCAGGCGAAAAAGAGGTGCCTATGCGAGAATAACCGACCTATGCGAAAATAATAAAAACCAAACAAGAAACAATATTTACATGATTCAAAAGAGCAGTATATTAAGGACGAAATAGAGAACAAAACAATGACACTAGTTTTTCTATATTCATTGAAAATTATATAAATAACAAAGGTATAAAAGATCATAAAGAAAGTAAAAGTTGAATTCTCTCTTACAAAACGTATTTGCACATACAAAAAGTCATCTTTTCATCATAATTTTATATAGACCATTTATTACAAAGTATATACTTTGCATTTCCAATATATTTTGTAACAAGATAAATAATATTACATAATAAAAATAAAAAATAATTCGAAGGTACATGGTGTTTATGTTAGATTTCGTTAGCTCCAAGCGATAGGAAAAAGTCGTCGTCCACAAAGAGTTAAAACAAAAAATTATTTTTTTTAATTCTCTCGTAATGAAATTAGACCATTTATAACGGATTATAAATTTATTTTGAGATAGAGTTCTCCTGCAATGCGAATAGTAAAGCGCTACAAGACGCGGGCCGATATATCGGCTCTGGCACTTCTCGCCAGTGCATCAAGAACCGATATATCGGCCTCCGGCACTAAAAAGGTTAAGTGAAATACTCGAGACCTATTAATTCTTCTATAGAACTCGACGATCCTTCTTTAGAAATTTCCATTTATCCAGAATAAAGTTTTCAAATACTTTGTAACAATCAGCTAAACTCATCGTAACATTTCCATTCGAACATACCAACTCGGAAAAGTAATTCCAGACAACTCTCTTTTTCGTCATCCATCGAACTTAGAACAGGTAGAAAACACAGGTAGAATTTAGGTAGTAGACAATTCCAAGCTCCTGTTTCTTTAAAAAAATTATACTTTCGCAGCTTATTAGCACTGTGCATTGGGGGAAAAAGAAAAAGACGACTGACCGTCGAATCGAGTTTGGGGACGAACTTTCGCGTACTCGTTGACGAATAGCCACTTGATCGTTCGGTCCGCTACAGAGGATTCAGGTGCTGAAGCTGAAACGTGCCGCGGTGAATGGAGGTTCATCCATTTACGAGATATTTCGCCTATCCCCCATTACCATCACAATATCGGTACCTGTCGGTCAAACACCTGAGGCTCCCGGCAGTCCTTATTTATTGCCAGTACGTGCCGGCGCAAGATTTGCCCGAAAATTTCGTGTCTTTGGTGCAGCTTGACTCCGGGTCCGTTCGTCGCTGTGCTCGGGTGGCCGATCGTCAATAGCACGGCCGCGTCTACACGCGAATCTGAATTTTCAATGAGGCTCGAGTGCCACTAGACTTCGGCTATCGAAACGGTCGTCCTCGAGTGGCGAGTCGAGTGGCTGTTACACACCGGGATTGTAAAAATTTTTAAGTGCCGTTGCTGGTACACCTCTGTCGCTTTGTTTGGGATGTTTACGTATTGCTGATGCTACTCTAGGGATTGATTATTCGATTGGAAACGATTTAGTCTGACTGCTTGCTCGGATTAGAATTTGTATACGTTGTAATTTATGTTACTTTTAGCATTTTCTAGATATTTAGGGGTGAAAATGATGTCAATGGCAGTTTACTAAAACAAAAATCGTTTTTCTGTCATAGACGTTAATTACTCAGCTAAAAATGATTTAATTTTAATTCAAACTTAGCGTATATCTAATACAATTATCTATATCTAAAACTTCCATCGTGAAGAGTTCAAATATTCAAATCATCCGTCAAAGTCTCCCAAAAGAAGAATCGCCTTTCTCCAAGAAATATTTTCTCGAATCAAAAATAAAACAGGAATCTCATTAATCATTGTCAAACATCAGTTTATCATACCCGGCTATATTTGAATTTCAGGAGCAGTTCAATATAAGAAGACCAGCGTGATGGTTATCATTTTCCTTCGCGGAAAAACCGTAGAGCAGCCTGTGCATCCCGTTTCCATGGAACATGACCGATTCGGTCATCGATTACGGTTCGACCCGGCAGGTAGAATGTCGAGGGGCCATTCTGCGTTTACGATTAATCCAAAATTTATGGTGGAAACCAACAGGTGTTGGCACTTCGGCCCTTTTGTTTCTCGCGTGTGTCCGGCACCATGTAACAAGGCGTACCACTCTATACCGAAGGATTCGCCTAACCGATATGCGTGACTGCTCTTAAACGTTCGCTTCCGGTTTCCGGTGCTATCCGTCTAATCAGATATGCTAATCGCCCTAACATCACGCCGTCCATTGATTTTTCTCCAGCGGCCAATTCCTTCGTTCTGGAAACGGAACGCGAATTATCGATCTCGCTCCGCGATGGAATTAGCCACGTTCGATCGTCGAGGATTAGATAACGTTGCGAGAAAGGAAAGACGTTTTTTTTTGTTCCACAATCGTCCACACTGCGTTTTCTTTTCTTCGGATTTAATCTCCCTTAGATTACAGGGAAACAGTTGGGAAACGCAGAATTTTTTTGCCATGTTATCGGTAATCGATAGAAAACCTGTTCTTTCCCTGTGCATTTTTTAATGCAACAGGATGCGATTCGAAAAGGGGAGTCAAATGAAGAACCCGTTTGATATAGCGAGCTTGTTTTCTACAAGATGTTAAACATTTTAATTCGGAATAAAATGCGACCTGGATTTTTGTTCGGGGAAGAAGTTTAAGAATGATTTGGTAGTATAATGTTCTTTTTTAAAAATAATTTTACATATCTCTGTATTTTTAAATACCCAATTTAATCGTTTGGAAAGAGAATGTTTTCAAATTTCGGTGTGCACATTTATTTTTTCAGATATGAAATATGAATGAAAATACGTCGAAAGTATACATTTCTATTAAGGTCAAGGAAAATATTCCGTATATTCAGGTTCACCACGATCTAATCGCTGTTAAGAACGAAATCTCGATTCTAGATCCACGCGCGACCTATATCCCACTGCCATTGCTCGATGCAGGTCGATCGATACGTCTATAATCGTGCGGACAGCCTCCATATTTTTTCCTCCATTGTCCGGTTCGTGTGATTAATGATTAGATACACGTGATAACTCGAAAATAAATATTTCGTCTTTTATCCACATCTGACATCTTTTCGGAAGAAAATTCTACCGAATAATTCGTAAAAACATTTTCAATTCAATTTTATAAATTATATTTACCTCAAACCCTGCACCATTTTCCTCTTTCATTTCCACTTAAATTTCAAACGTGTCCAGCACAAATGTTGATTATTTTACGAACAAATTGTTCACCAAAGCAATTATCTCAACCAAGAAGAAAGTAGCAAACTTTAATTCGAAATTGCCTACGTACAAAATGAAATATCTTCAAAATTTGAAAATATTCAACAGTTGAAATTACTCACTTCGAACGAGTATTCCCAAGGTACTTTGACCACCAGGATGACAGAGAAAAAAGTCATTCGAGAGCCGAGTCCTCAAGCGTAGATACCAACGACTAGAATACTTTCTATGATCTTTAGCGTTTACGAATCGAAGGGAACACGTATAGAATGGTATAGGAATCGTGAATGGAGCCTAGGTGCTAGCTTGCGCCCCGAATAACTTCTTAAATGTTTCTTAAACGACGCCGGTGGCTGGGCTTTAACGAGCCGTGCAGAGTTTGGGTCACGTTTTGGCCCCGTGGCTTCCACGCTGTGGAAGAAGGGCCCTTTACGGGAAAGCTACCTTGAAAGGGGCTTCCCCGAAGCCCACCCGTCGAGCCACCTACTACGAGACGTACTACGCTCATTCATGACTCCGCGATCCGCTGCCTCCATTGTGACCAGTTCATGAATGAACGTAAAACTCCATTTTTCCGCCGCCATCTTCCCCTACCTTTCCCTCGGCCGTCACTGTGAAGTGATTCACCCCCGTGTATCGGGAAATTCGATTTTCAAGGACTTCCGAAGGACTTTTGGTTACTTTGTGCCCTTGCTGGGTTGCAGCGTCGCTGGATTTGTTTACGAGGGCCTTGGCAAATTTAGCGGGAAACGAAATACTGCTGTGTTATCAAATTTTGGTTTGTGGAGATTTGGATTTGAATATTTGGTAATAATTGAAATGACGTGTGAGAGGATTGAATTTTGAACATCTAAATACATAATGAAATTCGATGGTGAATGAAATTATTTGTGAAAGGGTCGAATTTTATTCAAATTTAAATTTGAAGTTCTGTTATTATGTATGTACCTTATAACTTGACGTTTTAGTTCGTAAAAATCCAACTGTAAGGTAAAATTTGGCGGCATTTGAAACTGCTTATGTGACGTTAAACTTTGTAAATATACATTATACATTCAAAGTTTTATTATTATATAGATACTTTTTAAGTTGTGTTTTTAGTTTATTGAAACCTAAACTCAAAGTAAAATTTGGTGATAATTAAAATTCCTTATGTAACGATAGGATTGTATAGAAACTTGAATTCAAAGTTATGTCGTTATTAAGGTAATTTTTAATTTGATCTTTGTTCTTTTTTCAGGCTGAACTAAATCAGAGTATCTTTAGAAAAGATGTCAATTACATTTTCCACACAGAGTATTTCTTAAGTTACTATCCATGAAATAAAACATTAAAATTAATAACAATTAAAAATTTTAATTATGCGGATCCTCACCTGTACTCGTCCTCCGCATAGTCCGGCGGAAACAGATGCCAGGTCGCGTCATAACACTCATCATATCCGTTCGCCATTTTCCTTTAGTGACTGTGTTTCCCTCGTCGAGATTCGCCAAATAAAAACAAACTACAATTTCATGGGAGAATCCCGTCACTGTTTTATACTCTTTATCAAATCCGAAAGCGGCTGATTTTTGGCGTCGAGTTCATTCGAAACGATATTTTTCCAGCGGTATAATACAACCAAATGAAATTCTTTTCAGTCGCGCTTTGAAGTTTCAGCGAAACTGAGGCGACGATCGAAATGATTGAAAATTGATTGACTTTAAATCAATTTATTCTCGTTGACTAAATCTTTTTGTAGACGTTCAAACACGATGTTTACAACCAGACAAAGGTTTCTTGCATCTCTTCTAGGGACACTGAAACCAAAGTATCTGAACGAGGACGCGGGACGCGACGAACGACACGAACGTACGAATTTTTCAATCCGTCCAAACGGTAATAGGTGCTCTCACTTACTGAGAACTATACGTGAATATATCGATCACCTATATATTGTATCAAAAATATGGCTACCAGATAGGAGCTCCGGCAACGTTATCTGTTTGATAACACCCTATATAGATTAGTTTGACTACTGTAACGTCAGAGAGTTCCAAATGATATCGGTTTCCCGAAGATCCGATACGACTGCGGAATATTTTTACTGAAAAAGAAAATTCGCAGCTATCGTGGGACTCTAATAACAATATATTGAGATAAAACAGTGGAAAGTAAATATTTATGCCGAAATTCTTGTTTTATTTACAACTTATACGTCACTTCATTGACAAACTAAGTTCTTCCAAGTTTTTAACGTTTCATAAAGTAATTCATAAAAATGTAAAACGAAAAATTTTAGTAGTACGTTTCTAACGTTTAAATTTTGTGACTATTAGGTTGGCAACAAAATATTCTCGTTCAGTTGTCAGTGCTATCTATATAAATAAACACTGTAATCAAATAAATATATCGAAGAATAACTTAAAGATACACTTCAATAGATAGAAATTTGTCTTTAGTCGTTTCTTTAAATAATGCGACGAAAGTTTTTGGCGAGCCCATTAATCGAGATTAGTATTGCTAGGAAGAACTGATGATAAACGGAAAAGAATAAATACAATAAAGAATCAAAAACGTGATAGATCGTCGTATCTTGCAGGTGCCACTATTCCTCGATATCTCAGGCCAATGGCGGCGATCTGTGTTACTGTTTCTGTGCTATCCAACCACCGCGAGATCTCGATAGATACGCGCGTATAATCAGAATCTTCGCTGCCATTACAATTTCGTAACAAGTTAAAAATCTGGATCCAACTAAATTCGGTTGGATTAATTTATTATTGATCGATGGTAAAGTAGAAATATGAGTAGCAAAATTAGGGAATTGACTGTGGTTGTAGGAAGCTGAGTTCTGGATACTGAAGACGTTGAAGACGTTGAAGTGCTGGAACTACTTCGTGTGTCAAGGATGTGAACTAGTTCACACGCCAGATAACCAACTAATTGTTGCACTCGACGATCGGCCGTACCTTACAATTTGTTAATGACAAGAGACCCTCGAGGTGAAGTATCCAGGCTTAGTCGACAAGTGCTACCGAACAGTGCCTGCTACGAGTGCACTGATAAAGCGAAACATTTCCTTCCGTATCTGTATTCATATATGCAACGATCCCGATAAGTGAGCATCGAATTTACTGGTCGTCTGCATCTGTAAGATCATCTGCAGAATTGAACAGAAGGAATCATGAAAAAAGTGTCTAAGAATGATTTTGAATGAATTTGAAGTGGAAACGATTGAAGACGGTATTTGATATGTAGACGGTATTTGATACATTGGAAATAATGAAGGAATGAATTAGGAACTTAAATTATTGCGCGTGAAACATTTAGTTTAGCATGGTACTTTTCGATCATTCGATAGAATGGGAAAGCAATTAATCAAACGTGAATTCATTTATAAAAATGATCAATATTAATGTAATCTTCTGTCATTCATATCGGAAAAATGATTCATCATCTCAATGTAGAAGATTCTTGTTGGTACGAGATCATACTGAGAATATGTTTCATGTTATCATAATTATTTCTGATTGTTTCAGTATCATTAAAAATGTTGAAATTGTCATATACTGGCTTATACAAGACTTACTGCAGCCTCTGAAAAGTTTCAAAAATCAATTTGAATTAATCCGTTGTTAAACAGGAAACATCAATGTAACTCCAGGTATACCGATGCAAAACAACAAAACAGCTTATTCACTCAAAACAAATAGCTTAATTCTTTTGTGAAAAGCTTCCTACAAATTTAAAAACATTTTATATACTGTTTCTATCCAAATTGGAATAATATGAAATAAATGAAATAAAGAATCTCGATAAACAAAATTGTTTGATGCTGTATGAAGAAGGTGGTGTTGTTGGCAGCGTCAATGATGGCATCAAATTAAAATATGTTACATTTACAAAACTGCTAATTATTATTATTAGTTCTCAACTATTATTATTGTTGCTACTATCACATCAATGTAAAAGTATGTTCCATATTTTGTGCGACAGATTTCCCCCAATTATTTATTTTTTTTTATTTTTAAGAGTGAATTCTTAATGGCTCACAAACACGATCGGTAGTTCGTTCAATTTTCTAGGACAGTGTAACGCACTTATCTGTCCATCAAGCACATGTACGGCATATGGGCAGTAATCTCTACTTATCGTGAGTCACGATAAGAGATTATTTTTTTCGCAAGATGGAACATGGCGTATCATTATTATTAATATCGTGAACAATATAACAACGCGACGTCTTCGTACTTTATTGCGTACTTGCAATCAGCCGGAGAATTTTTCCACGGAAGAAGGTCCAAAAAAAATCGGTGTACATTGCGATAAATTACATAATTCTCTTTAGATTGCAATGTATAGGGTGTCGGAGAACAAACATCGCTGAAAAGGATTTAACGCATTAAACAAATAAAGTGTTTCACGGATTGTAGTTGGAAGAGCAATTATTCGAAACTGATTTCCCTTAGAATTAAATATATAGATTAAGTCCAATGAGAACTCTTCCGTTATCGATGCCACATTTCTCGTATCGTAAATTTCTGAATAGAATTTATTTATTCCATTTTGTAATTGGTCGACACGAGCTGCTTATCGAAACGATATATTTGGAATCATCATTGTTATGATTATTTCACCCATAAGACGCAACGCGTCCTCTAAATCTCACGATATCGAATTCGAGCAGCGAGAAACATTGAAATCCGTCTCTAACTAACGAAAAATCCGAATTCAGACTAAACAACGCGGCGACTTCTCGATCGAAGATTATTTATTACAATTCCCCGGTTATATCATCGTAGAACACGCATGGCAATTGCAGGAATTGGAACTCGGTGATTTCACAATGCGACAGGGCCTGCGATTAAATAATTTATTAACATAAAATTAATCGTACAACCATAATGACAACAAATGACAACAAATGGATACAAGAGTGTACGCTCATGAGCTACGAATGTCCGTTCCCCTTCTCGTTCACACACAGGACACGTGAATGCTCGCGGACGAAACAATGAAACAACCGAATGGCGAAATAATTAACCGGCCGATGATTCGAGTAGAGGTGATAGTGACGAGATTATGTTTCAATGACTCATGCTCCGTTACTGTAATCGAACGATCCGAGAAGAGATTCGAATCCCACGTAACATTAATATAAACAATCGTTACCTCAATTTCATAAAAAACCATAATATTGTCCATTTATACTTCCACCTCTGTATACTTCCCATAAACATCGACACAAATACAGAATATAAACTCGAGCAAAAATGTCGAAGTCATTCGAAATTCCGAATAAACATTATTTCCTAAAGACAAATGGATTGTATTTATTCTAATACGAGGCGAGCAATGGTTGCTTATAGTACGGATCTTTTACGAAATATCACATTTCCTTGTTGCATGTTAACGAAAGTAAATCTTACATCGAGAATTATCGAAATATTTATACAATTGTATAAAAAGAAATTAATCGTTCCTGTATCCTAAAGGTTGACATTGTTTCCTGGGCTCGCCAAAAATCGCGATTGATAGCGGTCTGATATCAGACCGGTATCAGCGTCAACCGGCTCGATCACGCAACGCTTGATCTTAACCGTTCGATTACAACACCGCAGCCTTATCGATAACGTAGCTTCTTGCGCGCGTGTACCCAGTATCATTTCGTAAGAATTAAACCGACGGTCGTGCAGACACGACCGAAATTTTAGGCGTGGAAACCACCCTTACGAAGTTCCTTAGAGAACTTGTATTTGCGTGAACTCAGAGCACGATGTCTTTGCTCAGTTTTCAATTTTTCAAGATTTTTCTTCTATTTCGTGTTGTATCGTCCGGTCTTCTTGCGTGGACTACTCTTTTTATCTTGATGATGAGGCGCCTGGTCCTTCGAATTTGAGCCCCGAGGGTGCGCCGGTACGTTTGGTTTTTGATTCGGTTTCTGGTGACGCTTTTCGGTGGCTACGCCATTGGTGACCTCTTGCTTCGGTGTTGGTGGCGGCGGTGGTGGCGGTGCTGCTGTTACTGCTTGATAATGAATAGTATTTGTATCAGTATATTCGTTGTTAATATGTTGATAAAAAATTAAAATTGAATTAGTTGAATTAAAGTTAAAATTGAAAATTGTGTATTTCATAGTGTAATAATTGACAGTAAATTCTATAAACTTTTTTTTTATAAAGAATGCGTAATTTGTAATTCATTATTTTAGATTACCTGGAGACGTTTCTGTCAAGCAGGAATTTTTTTCTCCGTTGATAAAATCGTTCGATACGTGTTTGTCGGCCTGTGTTTGGGATTCTACAAAGACAGAAACATTAATTATCTCGATTAATATCCTCTGCCATGACAACATGTACAAAACTGATGAAAGCAACGTTACTGTCACTGCAAAGACAATTGCACTTAACTTGTGACACCGACTTTCTCGATATAAAAGACAAATCTGGCGACGAGCAATGCCTTGCCGCTAAGACAGAACTCGGAAAACCAACCCCAATTTGTTCATAAGCTCCAAGCAGATCCAGACTGCAGATTTTATGCATTTTTAACCCTTCAAATTATTCATCGAGTCGACAGGTCTCAAATCCTGTTCTCACAAGTCGAACCGGAAGAATGATTTGCATAAACATCCGCAGCCTACTCGTGGCATCGTACGCTTGCCTCTAACATTATAAATTATTTTACTTTACTTTCTATGACAGAAGAGAATATTATGAATATCGGGGCAAGGCGAAATCGAGAGATTAAACAATTGACCTGAGAGAATCTTCTTTATTCTGTCGCTTCTTAAACTTGACGGCGTACTTTCATAAGTAAGACTCCGTAAACCTAACACTGGTAATCTTATGGTAATCGTCTGAGAAACGATTTTGTGCGTTGCTTGTAGAATCATACAAACTATTATAGACAATATTTAGTTCGAATTTGATTTCAGTTCGATGCTTCTCTGCGTCTCGATTTGAAGTAGAGAGCGAAAAGTGAACCTCGTCAGCTGGAAGAGTGACGCACCGGTTTCAAATGGCTAAAAAACGATTTACACCGGTGTATCACTTGTCCAGCATTGGGGCGAGTAAAATGGCTCATCCTCATCCTCATCGAATTCCATTGCTGACGAGTAGACGGACTCACCCGGACTGTCGACACGATCCACGCCCATCGCCATCTCTTCCTTCGTTTCCTGGTCGCTCGTTTCCTGAAATTTGTCAACGTAACGAATAAAACGATTTTCTTTCTTACACCCGTTTGTACGCAATCTATCTTAAAAGTCTTAAACTATCTTAAAAATATTAAAAATTTGTCGATCTACAAATTAATTCTTAAATGTTAAGGGTAAGTTACTATGTAGTTATTTACTTCTTTTCAATATTAATGATAGATTAAGTAAGCAGTTATTGTTTTTATTTTTCAAACGAATGAATTATTGATCTTCGGGGAAATCTGCTAGAAATAATATGTATTTAAGTATTAAACGATCACATTCTTTTGTCTTTATATTTCTTTTCCCTCAATTTCATCAGCAGGAAAGAACTATAGTCAGTCGAACTTATCGCTACTTCAAGATGGCGGACACTCGAGCCTCCTTATCGTGTCTAATTCGTTCCGTCGTAATTTATCCAGGATATCGTCCAGGAATTATCATAGATTCTTCTCGAATTAATGTTCCTTTTATTATTGTTATTATAATTGTGATCAGCATTTCTCTTGTTACATACTTTTAAAATGCACGATTAATCGAAATTATCGTCGTTGACGAGACTTTGCCCAGAGATTATTAAAACTCTCCGAGAGTTTTCTCATCAATAATTACAAGTTTTGATGTGATATCGTAGAAAGTAAAATTTTCCGAACATCCAAATCGTTCACGTAGTTCGCATAAAAAATTTTTTACGAATTTAATACGGAGTCAACGCGTTTAACATGAAGTACACGTAATGTGAAAGGAGAACAGCTGCGAAGATCGTGTTTACCTTATTCACGGGACGCTCGTTTGACCTTTCTTTCAATTCGTTCAGCATTTCTTCAGCCTGTTTCTTAACGTCTTCCAATTCGGACAACGAAACGATCTTCTCCACTTCGTCTGCGCTGCTCGACGAGCTGGATTCCGAGGTACAGTCGGCGGGCTGAAAAATGATTTCTACGTCAACGAGGAATTGAAAAATTTCAAATAATATTCAACAGAAAATACAAAAACTCCTTTAGCACGTACATCAGGTGAATGACATATCTTTCAAAGTAAAGGATTAATTTTTGATCATCAATTTGTTTAGTTCACTTACATTGAAATCGGAGTCTTGCGTACTGTCTATCGAGGCATATCTGTTGATCTTCGATGGCAGGCTTTCGTTCTCAGACTCATCAGTGCTGTCTGAGTCCATACTCACTTTAGAGAATTTGCGTTTCGGTTCTGTGTGCATAGGACTTCCGGCGGATTCTGTGGTCGAATTTTGGTCTGGGGTTATTGCCTGTAATATGCGGATTATTAATTATTTTTTACTGAACTCGATCATCTGTATTTTACACCTTTAAATGTGGACTCTTTAATATCACAAGTATATACAGTCAGCATTCGAACGCGATGCATGCTTAGACATAACAAATGTTTCGTAATTTGCTTACATGCTAAATATTTTGTCAATTTTAGTGCATCTATGCACCACGAATGCAACGTGTTTCAACAGATGGTAATGTACGGTGTACAATCTTTCTAACAATAATTTATTTCTTACCAGGTTGCTCAAATACTTTCGTTGCTAACTGTACTTGCATGTATTCTTAAAAATCTTGAAAACTTCAAACCACATTACACTAAAGGCACTTCCCCTCTGCATTCCGATAATTGATTTTAATTAACCGATGGACATGCACAATGTGATTACAAGCTAATTTCACTTACCGTTTCGAGATCCGAGCCGGTTATACGAATTTTAGTGGGCGGTGGGGACGGCGATAACTTAGACGAGTCCAAGCAAGACAACGTCGACAGTGTCAATCTTATGGATTTGATCAGGGCCTTCTTGGCCTCGATCATCGTCAACCTCTTGTCCTACATCCATCACCGAGACTATTATCGTGCTAAGTTTAATCAACTGTCTAAGGATCGACGGTGTCGGAGAGGATAGAATCTACAAAATCTATTGGAATTCTTTTAAAACTGACCAATAAAGGAGTGCCATTAGTTAAACACTACGGACATCTACGAACCGATCTCTGTTTAACTACATTTTTCTTTTTCAAGCAAACGTACTGGGTCCAGGAGTGTCTAGGTATAAACAGGTATACACGACGGAGAACGATAAAAGAAACACGGCGAATGGAATTTAAAATTGCTAATATACCTTGTTGCACGTCTTACGCCTCGATGATTTCACCGCCTTCAAATTCAGCGCTCTTAAACGCCTGCGACCCTTTTGCACGATTTTCACCTGTGGGTTGGACATACGAATCAGATGAAAGAGCAGTGTACTTCAATTAAGATTAATTTATCTTTTAAACGGGAAAAGACACGTGCTTGAATTGCTCGGTGATGATTTTGGTATCGCAGTATCAATTAATATTTATAACGAATTATTTACCATTCCACTGGGTTGTATTTGAGGATAGCCCAAAATGAAAGCGCCCACGTTGAGTCCGCCTCTGATCATCCGTAAGATGATCAAACTTGGTAAGAACAGGATCCAAGGTAAAGGTCTGACCAATTCAATTTTCCCGAACACCTTTCCATTTTCCTCTATTTCGACACAGAGAAATTACTTAATCAATCAATGAATTATTGTGAATTATGAATTATTATGAATTATTATAAATTATTAAGAATTATGAATTTTTAGTTAAATTATTTAATGAATGACTCGATGAACATTTGATGAATCTTTTAAACACCAATACATCAATACTTCCAAGCAAACCAGTAATTACGTTATTCAAATATCTATTCCTATTTCTGAATTACCAGCGCTGATTTCATGGGACGGCAGGCTCCATTGCGCCGACTTCTCCACGACCCACAGGAAAGAATCGATCAGTCTGAAGAACGACAGACCCACAGACGTTTGCGACATCGTAACGATCATCGACTCGACCCATCCTATCATACCTTCCGATCTCTGCGTCGCTACCTGATGATTATACAACGAATTACACCAAAGAAACAATGAATAATCGCAGAAAATACAGTATTTCGACACTCACGGCGGCCGTAGACTCTTCTTTCTCCATGTTCGAAGTCGATCTGGAAACGAAGACGCAAGTGAAGCAACGTAAATAACAGGGGAAAAATATATCTTCGATTATTTTCAAATATTTGAGGAAAATATTTCGGTGAGCATTGAGATATCGTCTTTTTTCGTGATCTCCTGTGATAACTCGAGTTCAACGACATTGTACAGGGGGCGGGCCACATGACCCCAGCTGCAGGGAGTGAGAAATCGTGTGGTGATCCAACTTCCTATTATTTTTCGAGGAAGGTCCCCGGTTTCTGCTTACTCGGGGAAGACGACAGCACC